TAATACAATTCTAGCATGAACAATAAACATTTATCATGAAATAAGGAAATAAATAATAACTTTATTATTGCCTCTAGGGCATATTTCCTTCATCCTTCCCCCTTTCCCCCTTTGGTAAAAGGAAGGGGAGGTGAATCCTACTAGGAGCCCAAGTGGGACTCCTCCCATTGGGGGCGCGCCTATGGCCAGTCTCCTCTCCCTCCCTCCTTTATATATGTGGGGGGCCTAGAACAAACCCCAATTGCTCTAAGCCGTGTGCGGCGCCCCCCTCCACAGTTTACGCCTCCAGTCATATTCTCGCGGTGCTTAGGCGAAGCCCTGCGCAGATCACATCACCATCACCGTCACCACGTCATCGTGCTGACGGAACTCATCTACTCCTTTGACCCTCTGCTGGATCAAGAGCTCGAGGGACGCCATCGCGTTGAACGTATGCAGAACTCGGAGGTGTCGTACATTCGATACTCGATCGGTCGGAACGAGAAGACGTTCGACTACATCAACCGTGTTAAGCAAACGCTTCCCCTTTCAGTCTACGAGCGTATGTGGACACACTCTCCCCTCTCATTGCTATGCATCTCCTAGATAGATCTTGCGTGAATGTAGGATTTTTTTGAAATTGCATGCTATGTTTCCCAACAGTGGCACCCGATCCAGGTCTATGCATAGATGATATGCACGAGTAGAACACAAAGAGTTGTGGGAGGTGATCGACATACTGCTTACCACCAATGTCTTATTTTGATTCGGCGGTATTGTTGTATGAAGCGGCCCAGACCAACCTTACATGACCACGTTCATGAGACCGGTTCCACCGACAGACATGCAACTAGTTTTGCATAAAGGTGGCTGGCGGGTGTCTATTTCTCCAACTTTAGTTGAATCAAATTTGACTGCGGCTGGTCCTTGTGAAGGTTAAAACAACAAACTTGATAAATCACCGTTGTGGTTTTGTGCCGTAGGTAAGAACAGTTCTTGCTAGAAGCCCGTAGCAGCCACGTAAAACTTGCAACAACAAAGTAGAGGACGTCTAACTTGTTTTTCAACGGCATGTTGTGATGTGATATGGTCAAGACATGATGTGATATACGTTGTTGTATGAGATGATCATGTTTTGTAAAAGTTATCGGCAACTGGCAGGAACCTTATGGTTGTCGCTTTATTGTATGAGATACAAACGCTATGTAATTGCTTTACTTTATCACTAAGTGGTAGCGATAATCGTAGAAGCAATAGTTGGCGAGACGACCACGACGCTACGATGGAGATCAAGGTGTCAAGCCGGTGATGATGGAGATCATGACGTTGCTTTGGTGATGGAGATCAAAATCACAAGATGATGATGGCCATATCATGTCATATATTTTGATTGATGTGATGTTTATCTTTTATGCATCTTATTTTACTTAGTACGGCGGCAACATTATAAGATGATCCCTTACTAAAATTTCAAGGTATAAGTGTTCTCCCCGAGTATGCAGCGTTGCGAAAGTTCTTCGTGCTGAGACACCACATGCTGATCGGGTGTGATAAGCTCTACGTTCAAATACAATGGGTGCAAGCCAGTTTTACACATGCGGAATACTCGGGTTAAACTTGACGAGCCTAGCATGTACAGACATGGCCTCGGAACACTGGTGACCGAAAGGTCGAACGTGAATCATATAGTGGATATGATCAACATAGAGATGTTCACCATTGATGACTACTCCATCTCACGTGATGATCGAATATGATTTAGTTGATTTGGATCATGTATCATTTAGATGACTTGAGGGATGTCTATCTAAGTGTGAGTTCTTAAGTAATATGATTAACTGAACTTAATTTATCATGAACTTAGTCCTGATAGTTTTTGCATATCTATGATGTAGATCAATGGCCCGTGCTACCGTTCCCTTGAATTTTAATGGTTCCTAGAGAAAGCTAAGTTGAAAGATGATGGTAGCAACTACACGGACTGGGTCCGTAACTTGAGGATTATCCTCATTGCTGCACAGAAGAATTATGTCCTTAATGCACCGCTGGGTGAAAGGCCTGTTGCAGGAGCAGAAGTTGACGTTATGAACGTCTGACAAGCTCGATCTAATGACTACTCGTTAGTTCAGTGTGCCATGCTTTACGGCTTAGAATCAGGACTTCAAAGACGTTTTGAACGTCATGGACCATATGAGATGTTCCAAGAGTTAAAGTTAATATTTCAAGCAAATGCCCGAGTTGAGAGATATGAAGTCTCCAACAAGTTCTATAGCTGCAAGATGGAGGAGAACAGTTCTGTTAGTGAACACATACTCAGAATGTCTGGGTACCATAATCACTTGACTCAGCTGGGAGTTAATCTTCCAGATGATTGTGTCATTGACAGAGTTCTTCAATCACTGCCACCAAGCTACAAAGGCTTCATGATGAACTACAATATGCAAGGGATGGAAAAGACTATTCCCGAGCTCTTCGCAATGCTAAAGGTTGCGGAGGTAGAAATCAAAAAGGAGCATCAAGTGTTGATGGTTAACAAGACCACTAGTTTCGAGAAGAAGGGCAATGGTAAGAAGGGGAACTTCAAGAAGAATGGCAAGCAAGTTATCACTCCTGGGAAGAAACCAAAGCTGGACCCAAGCTTGAAACTGAGTGCTTCTACTGCAAAGGGACTGGTCACTGAAAGCGGAACTGCCCCAAGTATTTGGCAGATAAGAAGGATGGCAAAGTGAACAAAGGTATATTTGATATACATGTTATTGATGTGTGCCTTACTAATTCTCGTAGTAGTGCCTGAGCATTTGATACTGGTTCGATTGCTCATATTTGTAACTTGAAACAGGGACTATGGATCAAACGAAAATTGGCTAGGATGAGGTGACGATGCGTGTCGGGAATCGTTCCAAGGTCGATGTCATTGCTGTCGGCACGCTACCTCTACATCTACCTTCGGAATTAGTTTTAGACTTGAATAATTGTTATTTGATGCCAGCGTTGAGCATGAACATTATATCTAGATCTTGTTTAGTGCGAGACGGTTATTCATTTAAACCAGAGAACTATGGTTGTTCTATTTATATGAGTAATATCTTTTATGGTCATGCATCCTTGAAGAGTGGTCTATTTCTGTTGAATCTCGATCGTGGTGATACACATATTCATAATATTGATGCTAAAAGATGCAAAGTTGATAATGATAGTGCAACTTATTTGTGGCACTGTCGTTTGGGTCATATCGGTGTAAAGCGCATGAAGAATTTTCTGTCACTTAGTACATCATTTTTATATTGCTATCAAGCTATCTGATTTACAGCACTGGCAGAGAATACCTTACTCAAACCGCTTATCAATTTTCTTCTGCTCCTTGTTAGGTTCGACACTCTTATTTATCGAAAGGACTACGATTGATCCCCTATACTTGTAGGTCATCAAAGATCTGTGCACACCATCCGACGATCGACAAGGCTTTGTGTGGAAAATGTTTCATGGAAAGTTAGATGTATAACTTTTTTTTGCATGGTAACACGTGTCTCATTTATATCACAAGGATCATAGTACAAGCCACTACACACCGACCTGACTAAACCGAAAAGACAGTAGAACGCTAGTCTTTACACAGAGGAACACCAGCTAAGAAGCAAAAATACAATCAAGACCGAAGAAACATCTGAGCTTGACACTAACCCGTCACCCGCCTCTGGCACCACCACAACGCCACCAAAGAAAAAAAATGATGGATCACCTTCACACCCGAGCTCGATGCGGCCCCATTGCTGATATGTAGCTTTGCGGACCCCCAAGGTTACCAATGGCAAAACCATTATCGTTGAACGAATTAGACTGGTGCAACACCCCAGACAAGCCATCGAACTCCAGATCTGGCGCCCCCACACGACTAAAACGTCGAAGGAGAAAACCATATTTGCCATCCACGAACCCAGTAAACGACCCACCATCTTCAAGAAGCCGCTGATGCAGACTACAATCTGCATCCGCTCCTGGACTACCTCCCAAGCTTCGCGACAATGCTGGAGCGAACGTCGTCACGAAGACGGAGCCCGAGGACACATGTCCATCACGAGGATGCCGCCGCCGCCACCGCCACGTCATCCTTGCTTGAACAGACCGATTTTCAAATTCATCCCCAATTATATGACCGATGACCTCCTCGTAGTAGGATATGAAGAAAGCTTATTCAACGTTGCCATAGCCGTCGAAGCCAGGACAATCACAATGAACAGTCTAAAAACTTATAAGAGAGGAAAAGATGTTCCATGCAAGTGGATCTGGCGACCCCCTCATCACCGAGGACCGAGGTCGCCGAAGGAGGGGAGCCGCCGGAGGGCGGCCGTGAGATCACCTTTGCGAGAGGCGACAACGGCTTTTTTTCTGTCTTATTTTATATTATGGGAGTGTAGCAACGTGAAGATATGAAATTCCATACTAGTCTCAGTACTGTACGATGATGGTGAATTAGGGAAATTTGATGGGGACTCCGTGTGACTTTGCAATTATTGGATCCAAATCACCTCGGCGTGATGGTGTCCCTCTTCAACATAAAAGATCAGCGCCCTGTCCGACTGCCATCATGGCCCACAAGACAAGACCAGAGATCACAAAAGGAAAAGAAAAAAAAGAGAGACAAGAGCCAGAGTCCAGACTACGCACTCCAGTCCAGCGTCCAGATCTAGATCCCCGGCGGCCCCCATCCCGGGCCCCACGCTAGCGTCCAGCCACCTCACCAACAACCAAAAATCCTACTCGTCCCTCTTT